AGGAGAAGAACACTGTAAACAGAAATAAAAATTGCTGGCAGTAGATAAGCCAAAAAATAGAGATGTAAGTATAGTGCTCAAAGTTCTAGTGGAAACAAACAACTAAAAAGAGAAATCATTTTTAAAAAAAAGAAGAAGTTGCCTCTAGGGAAGACTTCAGGTGGAATGAAAGGCTGTGACTGTCAGTAAATACTTCTGTATTATATGACTTGTTACCATGTATAACTGTTACTTTGATTTTAAAGTTTTAAATTTTAATAAATAAAATTCTGGAAATTGATTCTCTGAACCAATGGTAACGTCCTGACACTTGAGTAGAAGGAACAGAGACAGGAAAGGTGAAGAGAGGCTTATTTCTCTTTGAAATTTCCCATGTCTCTGAATTTCTCTTTTGAAAGAAAGATTCATCTATCACTGTTTTTTGTTTGTCTGTTTGTTTGTTTGTTTGTTTGTTTTCAGTGCAGTGACACAATCTCGGTTCATTGCAACCTCCACCTCCTGGGCTCAGGTGATCCTCCCACCTCAGCCTCCCAAGTAGCTGGAACCACAGGCATGTACCACCACACCTGGCTAATTTTGGGTATTTTGGTTTTTGTTTTGTTTTGTTTTTGTAGAGCTACGGTTTCACTGTTGTATTAGTCTGGTCTCACACTGCTAGTAAAGGCATATCCAAGACTTGGTAATCTATAAAGAAAAGAGATTTAATGGACTCACAATTTCACATGGCTGTGGAGGCCTCACAATCATGGCAGAAGGCAAAGGAGAAGCAAAGGCATCCCTTACATGGCAGCAGGCAAAAGAGCTTGTGCAGAGGAACTCCCATTTATAAAACCATCAGATCTCATGAGACTATTCACTACTGCAAAACAGTATGGGGGAAATCACCTCCATAATTCAATTCTCTCCACCTGGGCCCACCCTTGACATGTGGGGATTATTACAATTTAAAGTGAGATTTGGGTGGGGACACAGCCAAACCATATCAACCATGTTGCCCAGGCTGGTCTTGAACCCCTAGGCTCAAGAAATCCTCCTGCCTCAGCCTCCCAAAGTGCTGGGATTACAGGCATGAGCCACTGTGCCTGACTTATTAGGTTCATATCTGTCTTCTCTATTTGGTAATCTCTAGCTACTCATTTATTACTGCATCCACAAAAAAAGCCCAATATCCAGAAGATGTTCCACAAGTTGATGGAATGATAAAAAACAAAATGAGAAAAGGAGAGAGGGAGGGCTGAGTGGCAGCTTAGTGTACACATCAGTTGTTTGCCCTGAACAGCTACTTCCCTGCCTGTAGAAATGGTGTCTGGCATCTTATAAGTGACCTCTCCCTCGTAAACGTTTGCATCTGATTATTTCTCCATGTACCACCACCTGCTTTGACCCACAACCTGACTTCATTTGCACTGGATCCATTTCTTGCTTTCCACCACCCTCTTCATATTTGATGCATCAGACTGTCTCTGACTTCTGGGCTCACCTCTAATCTGGACTCAAATTTGTCCACTTGATGAAGAAATTTTAATTGAGTGCTTATTGTATACAAGGTAGGGCAATATAATGAAGAAACACACCCACATAATGTCTGTCCTCTCTAAATTTACCTTCTCCTGGAGTAAACAGATAATCACACTCACAAAAAAAAAAAATTACAGACTGTGTTTGAGTGATATGAATAAAAAGAACAAAGTGTTACGAACTAGAATAATAGGTGATCTAAATTAGTCCAGAGCTGCGAGGGAGAAGGGAAGTTACAAAAGACTTTTCTGGGGAAGTGACATTTAGCTGAGATCTGGAAGAAAAATAAGATTAAGTGACGTAAAGGGGGAGATGTTTGAGAGATACGGCTGAAGAAGTCAGACCAAATCATTAAATCACTCAGAGCCTTACAGACCATATTAAGTTTTGCTGCAATAATAAATATCAACATCTTAAAATAGTGATTTATTTCCCATTCATGTTATATGTCCACATGGGTCATGTCTTCACGTTGCCTTCAACACTGATGGATCAGTCTTTATCTGGGCCAATGCCAGCCTTAAAAAAAGAGGAAAAGAAGAGAAAAGAGAAGCCACATATCTGGCTCTTAAAGCTTCTGCTTAGAAATAACACACATCACTTTGGCCCACGTTCCATTAGCCAAAGCAAGTCACATGGCTACATTTGTGTTCAACAGAGTAGGAATATATAATCCTCCTGCATGGAGGGTCCCTGCAAGTCACATGGCCATGCTTGACATTAGTGAGACAGGGAAGTAGAATCCTCTTCCAGGAAGGGCATTAAATATTTTGAACATTGATACAATTTCCCACATAGGTTTTATCCTAAGAGCAATGGGAAGCCATGGAAGAGTCTTAAGCAGTGATAAGATTCATAATCTCACAAATTATAAATCACAATGCAGAGAATGGCTTGGAGAGTCTCAAAAGTGGTTGTTAATGGTTATCATAATAGCAAAGGTGGGAAGAAATGTATAATGACTTATACTAGGGTGATGGCAGTGGAAATGGAAGACATAAATGGGTTAAAGTCTTATGAAATGGAATTTATAAGATCTGGTGATTTGTTGAGTGTGGATAGTGAGAAAGAAAGAAGGGTCAAAAGTGATTCCAGATTTAACTCTTTATGCCTTTACATTATAGTTAACCACTCATTCCTAGCCACTCTCTTTTTTTTTTTTTTACTAAATATCATGGTGTATCATTTTCCTCTCTGTTCCAAGCACTATCACTATCCCAAGTGACTTTAGTATCCATTTGAGCACCCCATTCACTATCCATGCCTCTCAAATCTTTTGCCCGCTCAACTCAGTGGCCTTCACCTCCACTCCTCTTTGAACATCTTCTCTCATGATCACACCCTAGACCATAAAGTCATCCATCCAACAAAAAATTTCACATCTCTGAGATCTTAAATTCTAAGATTTCTTTTTGGCAACAGCTGACAATCATCCTAGCTCCTTTTTCAATATTTTAATCTTTTGTATCAATGTCTGACTTTCTCACCTACCTGGAAAAATGCCAGCCCTGGATGAATCCAGTAATTGTCTCCCACACATCTTCACTAGGCTGTGAGCTCTGCTGGAAGAAATCATATCATTACAAAGAATGGAATAATTGCAAAATTCTGGTCTCAAAACTCATCTGAGCCCTTCATGCTGTTCTGAGTATCTTCTGGTTTTTTTTTTCCATAGTTGTTTCAGATTTGCAGTTTCCTCAACTGTATCAGTCCTTTCCTGTTGCTATAAAGAAATACCTGAGGCTGGGTAATTTCTAAAGAAAAGAGATTTATTTGGCTTATGATTCCATAAGCTGTACAAGAAGCATGGCACCAGCATCTGCTTCTGGTCAGGGTTTTAGGGAGCTTCCACTCATGGTGGATGACCAAGGGGACTAGCGTGTGCAGAAATCCCATAATAAGAGAGAAAGCAAGAGGGGAGCAAGGTGCCAGGCTCCTTTTAACAACTAGCTCGCAAGGGAACTAATACAGTGAGAACTCGCTCAGTACTCCCACTCAGGGAGGGAATTAATCTATTCATGAGGGATCCACCCCCACGACCCAAACACTTTCCACTAGGCCTACTTCCAACACTGGGAATCAAATTTCAACATGAGGATGAAGGTCAAATATCCAAACTACAGCATAAATTTTCTTAACCTCCTCTTCTCTGATCACCCTTAGAGTAAGACCTGACCTTCTGCTTCCCAAAGAAAGTAAAAATCCTGTATTACCTCACCTCCCCAGAACTTCAAGAGGAAACTACCCCTCATGGTTCCTGTAGCATGTATGCATGTAGAGCATGGCCAAGATTCAAGTCACATGATCCTTTCCAATGCACCATCCATTGATTAGCCAGTCATGAATAATTTGTAAGCCTGGCTCACAAAATTAGGATCAGCCAATCTGATATTTGCCTGAATTTGGAATTACAAAGCTGAAGCAGCTAAAAGAAAGTGATGTGGGCGGCCGGATGTGGTGGCTCAGGCCTGTAATCCCAGCACTTTGGGAGGCCAAGGCGGGCGGATCACGAGGTCAAGAGATTAAGGCCATCCTGGTTAACACGGTGAAACCCCGTCTCTACTAAAAACACACACACACAAAAAAAATTAGCCAGGCGTGGTGGCGGGTGCCTGTAGTTCCAGTTACTCAGGAGGCTGAGGCCAGAGAATGGCGTGAACCCAGGAGGTGGAACTTGCAGTGAGCCGAGATCACGCCACTGCACTCCAGCCTGGGCAACAGAGCAAGACTCCATCTCACACACACACACACAAAAAGTGATGTGGGCAGCCAGTATGATATGGATATGTAAAGGTTAATATCAAGTAGAAAGAACATATAAACAGAAGACACTGATGAGTGGAGAAAGGAAACCAGAGCCAATGCCCAGGGAAAAGATGGCAATTCCCTGCTGTTCATTAGACAAGGAGCATCATAGCTCCCAGTTCCAAACTCCATGAGGTCTGGCTCTGCTTTGGTTGGTTAGCTGGACTTTCTGAGATTTTTTTTAGGTTTTATTTTAGAGACAGGGTCTCACTCTGTTGCTCAGGCTCAAGTGCAGTGGCCTGATTTTAGGTCACTACAGCCTCAAACTCCTGGCCTTAAGTGATCTTCCTGCCTCAGCCTCTCCAAGTACGTGGGACTAAAGGTGCAAAGCAACACACCTGGCTACATTTTTTTTTAATTTTTTGTCTAGATGGGGTCTTGCTATGTTGCCCAGGCTAGTCTTGAACCCCTGGCCTCGTGTGAACCTCCTGCCTCAGTCTCTCAAAGTGCTGGGATTACAGGCAGGAGCTGCCACACCCAGGTGAGATTTTTCATGCATTCTTCTGCAGAAGACCTTGCTGTTTGCCTATCCACATTACCTTCTCCTTTTTGCCCTAAATAACACTCTGATTTTTGTTGAAATATACTTACCTTTGCCAGATGCATGACATGAGCCTGTAGTCCCAGCTACTCAGAAGGCTGAAGCAGGAGGATTGTTTGAGCCAAGAGGTTCAAGACCAGCCTGGGTAATGCAGCAAGACCAAGTCTCTTTAAAAAAATTAAAAATAAAATAAACATATTTGCCTCCTCAAACCTTCTTGCAAATAGGAGGGTTATATGACCTTCTGTGGCCAATGAGATGCAAGTGGTAAACTACTGCCAGGGTCTCCAGGGAAAAATGTTCCTGATGGAAAAAAATGAAGAGGCTCAACTTATATGTACCTTTTGCACTTGTATTAGTCTGTTTTCATGCTGCAAATAAAGACATACCCGAAACTGGCTAACTTATAAAGGAAAGAGGTATAATTCACTCACAGTTCCACATGACTGGGGAGGCCTCACAATCATGGCGGAAAGTGAAGGAAGAGCAAAGTCACATCTTACATGGCAGCAGGCAAGAGAGCTTGTGCAGGGGAACCCGTTTATAAAACCATCAGATCTCGTGAGACTTATTCCCTACCACAAGAACAGTACGAGGAAAACCACCTCCATGATTCAATTATCTCCACCTGGCTCCACACTTGACATGTGGAGATTACTACAACTTAAGGTGAGATTTGGGTGGGGATACAACCAAACCATATCAGCACTTCTTTCCTGCTTGGAGTCCCGATATGATGCTTGAGGTACAGTAAACATCATGTGGCCATGAGGGCAAAATTTACACACTGAGTCTAGTCAATCAAATATCTAGAAAGAGCTTAAATTATTTATTATTTCGTAAAGTAGCTGATACTATCCCTGATCTGCCTACTCTAGGTTCTCAATATTTGAGAAACATAAGATTTCTTTTGAACTAAGCACCTACACTTGGATTTCTGGATGCAGTTCTAACTGATAATCTCTCTTGTGCAAGCTTAAGTAGGTTTCTGTTCCTTGCAACCAAAATTGCCACAAGTGAAAAAACATCAGCTAGCACTTCCTCTGCCTATCTACCCACTCACCTACAAAATATATGCATCCCTACAATCCTTTCCTTCCCAGAGGAAGAAGGTCCTTCCTCCTCACACATTCTAGATCCTATGACTTCTTCACAAGAACACTGTCCATCATTCACCGCTTTCCCCTGCACTTTCAACCTCTCCCTTTGCTCTGTCCCCTGCCAGTCACTAAACCTACTCAAGTCTCTCCCAGTTCAAATAAATCGTGCCCTTAATTTCATCTCTCCTTCCTATTATCACCATGTATTTCTTCTCTTCTTCAAGGTTCTATCAGGAATTATCTTCACTTGTGACTCCCATTTCGGCCCCTTTTATTCATTCCTTAACCTATTCCCTGTTTGCCCCAAGAATAAGCTGCATTTTTTTTTTCTAAATGGAAAATGGGTTTCTTAATTCATCCCAGCACTCAACTGAAAAAAAAAAAAAAAAAACTCTTGCTGAGGTCCCTAAGAACACAGTACACTCTGCACCCCAGTAAAGTCAACTTGTATACCCACTGTTTACAGAAAATGCCATGCTGTTGAGATAGGAGGCAGGGCTCAGACACTGGACCGACCAAACTGAGGACTAGCTAAAACAGGGACAGGACGGAAGCAGCTTTCCATGAGACACACCCACCAGTGTCCCATGTCAGTTTACCATTGCCTTAGCAATACCCAGAAGTTACCATCCCTTTTCATGACAATGACTCTGTGACCCAGAAGTTACCACCCTTTTCCTAGAAATTTCTGCATAATCTGTCTCTTGATTTGCATGTAATTAAAAGTGGGTATCAATATGACTGCAGCCCTGCCTCTGAGCTGCTACTCTGGGCACACTGCCTATGGGGTAGCCCTGCTCTGCAAAAAGCGATACGTTTGCTGCTGCTGTACACTGCTGCTTCAGTAAAAGTTGCTGTCTAACACCACTGGCTCACCCTTGAATTTCTTGCTGGGTGAAGCCAAGAACCCTCCCTGGCTAAGCCCCAATTTTTGGGCTCACCTGCCCTTTATCACCATCTCTTACCTCCATGCCTTGGCATGGCTACATCTGGGGTGCAGTCCTCACTCTACTTTCCTCCTCCACCCTACGTGTACCTGGCTCTCTTATACATGTCCTTCTCAGACATCACCTTCTCCTAGGAGTTTTCCCTAAAACACCTTCCTGCAAAATACGTCCCTTGTTCCCAGTTAAACTCTTTGCACCTCAGTGTACTCAACTGCAGAATGGGGATGTTAATCGTACCTACCTTAGAAAATGTCACGAAAATTAAATGAGTTCATTGTATCAACACTTAGAACTCTTGCTTAACACCAGAAACTACAATGTAAGTGTTCAATGAATAAATAAATAACTCACTTGCTGAAATTGCTCCTGTCCCACAATTATCACACTGTGTTGAAATTGCCTCTGGCTTTACAGTAGAAACATTTGGGAAACTTTAAAAATTTCTGAACTCCAGACCATATCCAGACCAATTACACCAGTATCTCTAAGGGTGGTGCCAGACATAAGTATTCTTCATACACACATACACACTCACACACACACACACAAACACACTCACACACACACACACAATTCTGTTGTGTAACCAAGCAAAAACCACAACCCTAAACCTCCTGATTCTAATCGTTGACTGTGCCTCAAATCACCTGAAGAGTTTCTTTAAAGGACTCATGCCCAGGTCCCACTCCCAACCACACTTAGAATTTCTGGAGATGGGGCTGACATCAGCATTACTATGAAGTTCTCACATAACCCTGGTGCACAGTGTGGTGTAAGAGCCACACTCTAAACCAGAGGTTGGCAAAATATAGCTCACAGCCCATATCCAGCCCATCATCTGTTTTTGTAAAGAAAGCTTTATCGGAACACAGCCATACTCATTCAGTTACATATGGCTGTGGCTGCTTACACCCCACCATGGCAAAATTGGATAGTTATGATAAAAACTACACTGACCAGAAGCCTAAAATAGTTGCTCTAGACCCTAATTTTGTTAATGCATTCTTAACACGGAGCTTAGCATGTGGCAAGCACTGGAAAAATATTTGCCGATGTTAGTGTCTCTCTCTCTCTCTCTCTCTCTCTCTCTGTCTCTGTCTCTCTCTTAAACTAATTGCTAAGATTCTTTTTTGGCTTAGCTTTATGGTTCAACAGAATAAATCCAGCAAGTCTTGGAGGCAATGCCCTTTGTAGAATGTTTCTCTGGCTTTAGGACACTTCGTCAACACAGGGCTCATTTTACTTTTCCTCCTGTAAGTAGCTGCAAGCAAGACTGCTCCCTGCTTCTCCAATAAGCAATGATCCTCTGGGAGACTTGACATTCTTCCTTTAATTACCAGTAACTGAGTCAGATTATTTCCCCTGGGCTCTCCCCGACCTCCATCGCTCACAGAAGCAGAGGATGTGGTGTCTTCCCTGCTACTGCCCTACCCTCCAAAAACAAAAACAAAAGGAACTTCACTCTCAATCTTCCTCTTTTCCTCTCACACCATCTCATTTTTGCAAAAATATGTCTCAGCTCCCTTGGCTCCAGGTAATGCCAAAGAATGAGCCCCCTTTCAGCCTGAGGATAGATACCAAGGAAACAGCAAGCAAATTTAACAAGATATTTTACTTGCTTCAGGTCTTTCCAAACCTTGCCGCGAATGTAAGACCACAGTGGATTTGGGAAGAGATGCAGAGAACAGCCTTTGAGCCACTGGGAAAGAAATTGCTGAGAATCACAGGTTAGAATCTTCCAAGTCCTGTCTTCTCCTTGGAAGTTCAGACAGCCCCTTTTGTTGCATGGTGTGATTTTATTTCTATTAATCTCCCTCTGCCCCTGGGGAGATCCCACACCTAGTTTAAAGGGTGCTCCCAGGCTGTTATTCAACAACTCACTCACTCTGGCTCCATACAAATGTCAGTTCTCATGCAGCACAACTCCATTTCTGCAAAATGGGTCTAATTTCTTCATCACTTGTCTACTTTCACAATGGTACTCTGAGGGACCTAGTGACATATAGGCGAGTGTCTCAGAACTAGATGATATTGCCAAAGTCTACCAAAGCCAGTCTCTCATCTCCAGGCCTGATTGCTCTAGGATCGTTGAATTTTAGAGCCCTTTGCTTATTTTCCAAAGGAGGAAATAAAGGCCCAGTGAGGCCAATCACATACATGACTGTTTTTCCAACAGCCTATGTGATACCTCCTCATATAACTATCTCTTATTTAGTTTTGTCAAATCTAAATTCTTGGTTTTTCTTCATTATCCCCAAATTCATTTCTCCCCATGTAAGTTCACAGCTCATGTCCATGTGCCCAGTTGCACCAGCCACAACCTGAAAGTCATCTTTAATTTTTCCCTTTCCCGCAGACCCATACCTAATCTACCAGCAAGCCTTGTCCCCTCTGCCTCCCAAATTCTGCCAAAACTGATGAAAGGTGAAGAGCGAAAACCCCTTTGTTGCCACTGCTGCTCCTCTAAACCACTCCACCATTTCCATTCATCTGGACTAAGTACTGCTAAGACTACAAAAATTAGACAGTTAAAAAAAATTCATTCTTCTCTCTGCTTCTACTCTCGATCTGCTACAATCAGTTTTCCATTCTGCAGCCAGTTGTCTTCTGAAATGTACATCCCTGAAAGAAACTCCATTGCTTCAAGTCATCTGAAGAATTCTCTTCCACTTCAAATAAATTTCAATCTTCTTTCCTTGGCTTGTAAGCTATAGGCTTGTATAGAGAAATCAAGGTTTCTCAACCTTGATGCTATGGACATTTGGGAGTGGACCATTCTGTAAGCTGGAGACTGTCCTGTGCATTGCAGGGTGGTAAGCAGCATCCATGGCCTCCACCCACCAGATGCCAGTAGCACAGCCCCATGTGGTAACCCTGACTCTCAATCCAAACTCTCAAAATTTATTCAAAGTCACCTCCAACTTGCAACCCCTGCCCTAGCCCTGATCACTGTGCTCTAACCTCACTGTCCTGTTTTCATGCTTGTTCCCAAATTTACATCTGCTACTCCTCTGCCCAGAAGACCCTTCTTCCAGATCCGCACAGGATCAGCCCCTTCCCATCATCCAAGTCTCGGTTCAGATTGTCACCTCCTCCAAAAGGTCTACCCCAGCCATCCTGCCTAAAGCAGCCCATCCACCCACTTCTCTACCTCATTGCCCAGTTTTATTTCCTTCACTGCACCTGTTAGTACCTGAAATCATTCTATTAATTTATTTGTTCAGGTCTGTGGTCCTGCACTAAACTACTAGCTTGATGAGACCTTGTCTGTCCTGCTCTCTGCTGCTTCCCCACTGCCTGCCTAGAAATTGCATATAGTAGGTATTCAATAAATAGTTATTAAAGAATATGACTCAATGAATGGATAAATAAGATTAGAACTCATGTCAGCTAAGGCTTTATACAGGATTCCTTCTAAGACCCCAGTGCAACCAGAACCATTTCAAGAGAGTGATTATCTACTGTGAGAAATTATCACTGCTTAAAAATACAGATGTCCTGGGTTCAAATCCCAGCTTTGCCATTCATCAGCTGTTTGGCTTTCGGCAAATTGCTGAGCTCTCTGACCTTCAGTTTTCTCATCTATAAAATGAGAATAATGATGGTATCTTTCTCATAGGACTGCTGTAAAGACTAAGTGAGATCATAAGTATAAAACACTTAGAGTGGTACTCGACACAGAGCAAGCACCATGTGTTGGTTGTCATGGTTATTGTTCTTTCACTGATGATGAACTTTTTAGAGGAAAATAATAACCACTATAGGATACAAAAATTTCAGAGCCTCCTCACCACTCTACCCTGACAGAGCCAAAGCAGTCCCACAGAACTTTCTATCATGGACTTCTTCTCTCTAAAGCTGCTTCCCTCCAGTTAAAATAAATCTGATTTTATCTTGGGCCTAAGCAGGGAACTACTTATGTAGTAGTCACCTTTAATAGCTCAGAACAATATAATTGCTACCTCTTAGCATTCTGTTCTCCGGGGTAAATCATCCTAATGCTTTTAATGCCTACTTGCTTTTCCTATTTTCTGATCTTTCACATTCATTGTTTTCAGTTTGGAAATAGATCCAGATAAAGAAGGAGGAGGGCTGCTGTTGTCATAGCAACTGCAAAGGGACGGACAACCCAATTCAGAGGAAATAAGAAAAGTTGAGGGCTTTTTTTTCATATTTTTCCTTTCTGATTGAAAGCACTGCATTGCTTTGAACAGAAGACACGTGGCTGACACTGTCACTCTCACACATTGCCTCCTGATCCTCCACCCTTACCACCCCCCCGCCCCGATACACACATAGAAAGGGGAAATTGTCAAAGTTTGATGAGTGAAGGTGCTTGGTGACACCTCTATTGAAAAGCATCCCCCCTTTTATCACCACTTTTAAGGCTTATTTTTGTATTCACCCAACATAATCCACAGCCTCTCTCCCTAGTTTCTCTCTTGGTTTGCATTACACAGCCGGGCACCTGCCTATTCTCCAGTTTTTTTTAAAAAAGCTTATGTCTTATTTTTTTTAGTATTTTTTAATTACACAAGTAAAACAGCATTATACAACTCAAACAATCTAAATGCATACTCCCTTCAAGCCACTACTGATTCTGCAGCATACACACACATATATTTTTAACATGAACAGAATAGTATATACAAACAGTATATACAATACACACTGTTCTCAAAATTGTTTTGTTCCCGTGATATGTCATAGGTATTAATATCACTGTCCCTGCCTCCTTTCATCTTAGTTATCATTTGCCTTATAGATCTTTTTCCAACTCTTTCTTTTCAGAATTTATATATTGTTTTGCCTTGGTTTATCTCTTACAAATAACATGTAAGTAATTGTTTAAACCAAGCTGAGTGGCAGTTTAATAGAATGATTAAGAGCATGGGTCGTAACCATCAAAGAGCATGGGTTCAAATCTGGCCTCTCACTTGAAGCAAATGGCTTAATCTCTCTTAAGTCTCAGGGTCTCATCTTTAACATGAGAATAAAAATAGAACCTATCTTGCAGAGTTTACTGTTAGCTTTAAACAAAATTGTCTATTTAAAGTGCTTAGCACAGTGTGTAAATCATAATAACACTCACTAAATGGTAGCTATAGTTTCTGCCTTTTTACAGAGGAGTTTAACTCATTCACATGCAATCTGAATACTAATACTTGAGTTTATTTTTGCCACCATATCTTGTGTTTTCTATTGTGATGCTTTCTTGAGTTTTCTTCTATCCTTTGTCTAACTTCTGTGAAATTCATGAAGTTTCATTATTCAATTTTTTCTGTATTTTCTATTTTTCTCTTCACAGTGGTAGTTAATCAATATCCATATCCTCCTTTTAACTTCTAAGCCCTAATTAAAACCCTTAGCATGTTTCACTTCTACTCCCAGATCCCCACTCTCACTTCCTGCTTTGAAAGCCACTGGAGATTTTTTTCCAAACTGTTACCCCTTTTGTGTTATGCATCAAAATTCTTTATCCTTAACTCTATGATTTGCTGGTTTACTGTATCATCACTTTTTATGTCCCATATTTTCCTTTTTCTTTGATCTATCATTTTCATTTTGCTGGAGTACATCCTTAAATAATTCTTTCAGATAACGGCTCTGAGTGATACGATTCTTAAATACTTATATATATGAAAACGACTTTAATTTGTCCATACTTGACTGATAGTTTCTCTGAATAAAGGATTTTAGGTGCAAAATAATTTTCTCTCAGAATTTTGAACTCTATTTTCTCTTTATATCCAGTATTGCTATTGAGAAGTCAGATATATATGTAATCTTTTTTTGTTTTTGAAATGCTTTTTCTTCCTTCTTGAATCTTCAAGAATGCTCTCTTTATACTTGAAGTACTAGAGTTTTACCTAATGTGTCATAGGAGGATCATTTTTTAATACCATTCAGCACTCTGTGCCTGTCTTCAGCTCTAGAAAATTTTCTTCTATTGTTTGTTATTGTTCTCTTCCCTCTATTCTCTTTTATCTCCTTTTGAAACAGCTATCAATTTTGTAACTTAAAGGTCTATCCTCCCTGGCTTTTAGTCTATTTATTATGCTTTACATCTCTTCATCCTTTTATTCTGCATTCTGGAAGAGTCTCCTGCTTCTAGTATTCTAATTCAGTCTTCGGCTTTTCAGCACACTTATTGAATGGGGTTTATTCTGTAATCATACTTTAAAATTTTAGGTCTTCTGATTTCCTATTTTTCTTAGCAGCTTTTTATGGTTGTGATAGTCTCTTGAATCTCTCTAAGAAATTAATACTAGTGCTTATATTTCCTACTTCCCTTCCTTAATTCTACTATCTCAGATGTTACTTTTTGTGCTTAGTGAGTTTGGTACCTCTCTTATGGGATTGGTTTTTCTCAAATGATTGGTGGTTTTTTAATTGCATTTTGTAGATGAAAATTTAGAAGGGAAATACTTGCCAGGCGGTCTGGGTTTTGTCAGCTCAAGTAAGGTCTCTATTTACCTGGCAGCAAATTTATATTTTCATCACAGAATTCCTCCTCAAGTGATTTCGCGAGGTAAGAGGTGAGGTGTGCAGTCACATATGGTGTATATGGCAGGTAGACTTTAAGGTGGCTTCCATGATCTCTGTCTCCGGGTGTTCACGTCCTTTTGTGATTCCTCCCATTGAGTATGGGTGAGACCTGCGACTCACTTCTACCCTGTAGAATATAACAAAGTGAGAGGATGTCACATGATTATGTTACATTATCTAAGACTCCTTCATGTTAACACACTCTACTGTCTTCCTGTCTCTCTTACTTTCCATTACTGACTTTGAAGAAATAAGCTATCATAAATCCTACACCACAAAGAAATTAATTCTGGCAACAACCTCAGGGCGCTTGGAAGGAGATCCTTCCCCCAGCGGAGGCTCTAGTAAGAGTAAAGTCCTGCCCAATATCTTGATCGCAACCCTGTGACAGACTAAGCAGAGGACCCATCTAAGCCACACCCAGACTTTTAACCCACAGAAACTGTGAGAAAATAAATGTGTGTTGTCTTAAGCTACTAACTTTTTTTTTTTAAGACGGAGTTTCACTCTGTCACCCAGGCTGGAGTGCAGTGACACAATCTCGGCTCACCGCAACCTCCACCTCCCGGGTTCATGCCATTCTCCTGCCTCAGACTCCTGAGTAGCTGGGACTACAGGCACCCACCACCACGCCCGGCTAATTTTTTGTATTTATTGTATTTTGCAACACAGCAAGACTCCATCTAAAAAAAAAAAAAGAAAGAAAGAAAGAAAGAAAAGAGAATAAAGTGAGCACCTGACTTTTCCATGGACCTCAGAAACAGGCTCACCACAGTGAACCTCAGCACTCAGCCACTCCCACAGAATCAGGCTTCAGACCCAATGCCAGGACATCGTCTGTGGCCCCAGGCACAGGCCTGCACTAACATCAGGCTATCCCCCTAGACCTGGGGTCCAGACCCACCCCAGTACCAGGCCAGGCGCCATAGCTCCAAGTTAAAGCCAGTCCCTGAAAACTCAGGCTCCAGGCCAGCCCCCATAGACCCAGGCACCAAGCCAGCCCCCACAGTCTCAGATTCTAGCAGACCCAGGCCCCAGGCACACCCTAGTATACTCAAGATCTAGGCCAGCCCCATCATCCTCAAACTACAGGCTGGCCCCTACATGCATGAGGGATGAGAATCACTTGGACCCAGGTTGTAATGAACCAAGACCATGTGATTCCACTCCAGCCTGGGTGACACAGTGAGACTCTGTCTCAAACAAAAAAGAAAAAGTAAGAGGAGAAGTTAAAGTGTAGAGTATTTTTATGCAGTTGAAGAAAAATGCTATTAGTTTAAAATAGACTAACTATGAGAGGTTTTATACAAGCTTTATGGTAACCACAAAGTAAAACCTGTAGTAGATACATCAAAGATAAAGAGAAAGGAATAAAAGCATACAAAAACAAAAGTCATAAAGGAAAATAGCAAGAGAGAAAGAAACTACAAAACTATCAGAAAACAACAAAATTGCAATAGTAAGTCCTTACTGATCAATAGTTAATTTCAATGTAAATGGATTCAAAGCAAAGACAGAATGGCTGAATGGATTAAAAAAAAAAAAATCCAACTATAAGCTGCCTACAAGAGACTCACTTTAGCTTTGAGAACACACATAGGTTGAAGGTGAGGGGACAGAAAAAAATATTTCATACAAATAGTATTCAAAAGAGAATAAGGGTGGTTATGCTTATATCAGACAAAATAGACTTTAAGTCACACTGTCGTAAGAGACAAAAAAGTCATTATATAATGATGAAGGGGTCAATTAAACAAGATAATATAACAATTGTAAATTATATGCACCCAACATCAAAACATCCAAATACATAGAGAAAATATTAACAGAAATAGACAGTAATACAACAATGGCAGGGAACTTCAATATCCCACTTTTCCTAATGAACAGATCATCCAGACAAAAAATCATTAAGGAAACAGCAGACTTGAATGACACTATAGAACAAATACCTAACAGATATACATAGAATATTCCATACAATGGCAACAGAATACACATTATTTTCATGTGCAGAAAGAACACTCTTCAGGGTAGATAGTATGTTAGGTTGCAAATCAAATCTTAAATTTAAGAGGACTGAAATTATATCAGCTATCTTCCCAACCACAGTAATATGAAACTAGAAATCAATAACAAGAGGAAAAAATACAAAACTCACAAATACATGAAAATTAAACAACACACTCCTGAACAACCAGTAGGTCTAAGAAGAAATCAAAAGGGAAATCAAAAAATATATTGGGACAATGGAAGATGGGAAAACAACATACCAAAACTTACGGGATACAACAAAAGCAGTTCTCTGTGTGTGTGTGTGTGTGTGTGTGTGTGTGTGTGAGATGGAGTCTTGCTCTGTTGCCCAGGCTGGAGTACAGTGGTGCGATCTCAGCTCACTGCAACCTCCACCTCCCAGTTTCAAGCAATTCTCCTGACTCGGCCTGCCGAGTTGCTGGGATTCCAAGCATGTGTCAGCATGCCCAGCTAATTTTTATAATTTTAGTAGAGACAGGGTTTCCACATGTTGGCCAGCCGCGTCTCAAACTCCTGACCTCAAGTGATCCACCCGCCTTGGCTTCCCAAAGTGCTGGGATTACAGGCATGAGCAACTGCTCCCAACCCACAAAACCAGTTCTAAGAGGTAAGTTTATAGCAAAAAAAAAAAAAAAAAAAAAAAAAGCCTATGTTAAGAAAACAATATATCTCAAGTTAACAACCTAACTTTATATTTCAAGGACCTAGCAAAAGAAAAACAAACTAAGCTCAAAGTTGGCAGATGGAAAGGAATAAATATTAGAGAATAAATAAATAGACTAGAAAAGCAATGGAAAAGATTAGTGAAACTAAGAGTTTGTTTTTGGAAATAAAACAAAATTGACAAAAATTTGGCTAGACTAAGAAAGAAAAAGAAACAAAATTATAAATGAAAGAGGAGATATTACAAGTGATACCACAGAAATATAAAGGATCATAAGGAATATAAGAAGCAATTATATACCAACAAATTGGATAACCTGGAAGAAATGGGCAAATTTCTAGAAGTATAACTTAACAGGACTGAATCATTAATTGAAAATCTGAACAGATCAATAATGAATACGGAGATTAAAGCAGTAATCAAAAACCTCCCACCAAAAAAAAAAAAAAAAAAAAAAAAGCCCAGAATCTGATGGCTCCACTGATAAATTCTACCAAATATTTAAATAAGAATTAGGCCAGCCGCAGTGGCTCACACCTCTAATCCCAACACTTTGGAAGGCCAAGGCAGGCGGATCACTTGAGGTCAGAAGTTTGAGACCAGCCTGGCCAACATGGTGAAACCCCGTCTCTACTAAAAAGACAAAAATTGGCCGGGCATGGTGGCTGGTGCCTATAATCCCAGCAGCTGCGGAGGCTGAGGCAGGAGAATCACTTGAACCAGGAGGCAGAGTTTGTGGTGAGCTGAGAGGATCACACCAGCCTGGGAGACAGAGCAAGACCCTGTCAAAAAAAAAAGGAAGGGAGGGAGGGAAGGAAGATGACAAAACACTTCCAAACTCATTTTATGAGACCAGTATTACCCTGATTCCAAAGCCAGGGGAGGACACAAGAAAAGAAGACTGTAGGCCAATATCCCTGATGAACATGATGTAAAACTTTTCAACAAAATACTAGCAAATTTATTTCAACAGCACATTAAAAAGATCTTACACCTTGATCAAGTGGGATTTATTTCTAAGATGCAAGGATGATTCAACATATGCAAATTAATAAATGTGATAAGCCACATGAACAGAATGAAGGATAATAGTCCTTTGTTCAAATATCTATACTGCCACTTTGGTCTACAGTTTCAATGTAATCTCTATCAAAATTCCAATGGCATTTTTCACTTGAAATAGAAACAAAAAGTCTTAAAATTTATATAGTACCACGCAAGACCCCAAATAGCCAAAGCAATTCTTGAGGAAGAAGAACAAATCTTCTTCTCCTCAGTGAAAAGAAAATTTTATCACTTAAATATGTTAAATAAGTGAAATAATACAGTATGTAACCTTTTGGGGGCCTTGGGGGTGTGTTTGTTTTGTTTGTTTGTTTGTTGAGACAGGGTCTCACTCTGTCTCCCAGGCTGGGGTGCAGTGGCGCAATCTCGGCTCACTGCAACTTCTGCCTCCCAGGTTCCAGTGATTCTCCCACCTCAGCCTCCCAAGTAGCTGGGACTACAAGGCACTTGCCACCATGCCCAGCTAATTTTTGTATTTTTTGGTAGAGACAGGGTTTCACCATGTTGGCTGGGCTGGTCTCAAACTCCTGACCTCAAGTGATCCATGCACCTTGGCCTCCCAAAATGCTGGGAGTACAGGCATGAGCCACCACATCCGGCCTCTCACAATGTATACATATATCAAAACATCACATTGTACACCCTAAGAATACAACTTATATTTGTCAATAATAGCTCAATATAGAGGTGGCAGAGGGAGAAGGAGAAAAAATTTTGTCACTTAAAAATATTAAATAAATGAAATGATATAGCATGTATATCACACTTTTTGAATTGGCTTTTTTCACTCAACATAATTCCCTAGATTCATCCAAGTTGTAGTGTATAGCAATCGTCTGCTCCTTTTTATGGCTGATGTGAATTCCATGATTTGGAATACAGAGCAAATTACAGTTTGCTTAGTCATTCACCTGTTGAAGGAGAACATCTGGGCTGTTTTAAATCTAGCAATTCAAGATCTGGAAATTTATTCTTCAAATATAGTACACAAAGGCAAGGAAGTGTTTACAATAGTAAAGAACAAAAGAAACGCAAAGTTCATCAATTGGGGCCTAGTTAAACAATGTGCATTAATTCATACAACATGCATTTATATAGAGAGAGATTCCATATAAATATACATTATATATATGTATAAGTAATTTCATATATATGTTGTATATAACTGAGTTACAGAAGAGTAAATGCAGTATGACTGGAAGCAAGGAAAGCAGAGAGAACAGTGTTTTCATGTTTCAGTTAATACAATTCTGCAAATTCTATATTCCTGTCCAATGTTTATCTCTCACATATTTCATCTTACTGCATTGGCTAGGCCCTCACTAGAATTGTAATTACTGGTAGTCAAAGCAAACATCCATGTG